TACAGTATTTCAGTCATCAAAATAATCAGAGGCATACTGGAATCCAGTTTAACCACAGTATCTGCCAGCACAGCTATCAATGCATTAATCAGCTACATGAAAATTAAGTTTGAATCCTGCAGCACAGCTGAGTTCTGCCAAAATATATCCATCAGCTCCTTCATCTTAAATCCAAAACTCACTACTGGAGGAGTGCTCTGTGTATGTGCTCACATACAAAAACCCTTTTTTCAGAAATTATTTTCTCTTAATATAGTTAGAAGAGGCAGACAATTAAACTTTGATCCTGTGTCAAAACCATCCCAAGGTCCAAAAAAATAAGCTAATATATTTGGCATAAAAACACAGCAAGAATATTGTTTCCAGGGACTCTTCAAAGCAACGTTCAAAGAGCTGCCACAGCACCCTGCTGCCCCACACTCATTTTGAAAAGACACTCAAAAAAAAAGCCAAAGCGTTCCGTATGGGGGCAACAAGCTGCTCTAACTCAGCATATCAAAGAGACTGCTGCACCTCTCACCCCTGAAGAAGTAGAGCAGCAAACAAATTAATAGCTGGATCACTGCCATGCCAATATTTCAAGTGCATGCAACCCTAAAGCACTTCCTAAGCTTTTTTGTTTATAGCAAAAAAAAAAAAAAAGCATGTGCATGTGACATTTAAGCAAAAAAAAAAAAAAAGCATGTGCATGTCACATTATGCTGAAATACGAGAATCTGATTATATTCAAGCAGCGTATCATTTCACCTGGACTAACTGAAATATTCAGTTACACAACAGCTAATCATGAACAGAAGATAAGCTCAGAGATAAAAATAGGGAGAAAGACAGAGAGACCTTGTAACAGTTAATCAGCATGATTCATTTGTCAGACTGCCATAAAGAGCACCACCTGAAAAAGCCTTGAACTTCCCTCCAACAAATCCCTTTAAGCAATAAAACCTCTTGGGTTGCTTTTGCTTTAGTTTTCTTTCCAAGTCATTCATCAAACTCCCGTTAATCCCCAAATACACAGAGGAATCAGAGTCCAAGTGGGGAAGAGGTACAACATACCCCGTGTGTCACCCAGACAAGATTAGCACAGGAGCAGCCCCTCGCAGGACATGGGTCTTGCTCTACTTCCATAAAAAAAAAACCCATGTGTCCGAGCAGAATCCTCCAGGACAACTTCATCCAAAGGTTTCCAAGTCTAACCCTCCGTCCTCCACACTCTGGCTGATGCCCAGGTATTTAACTCACTTATCACGAGCCGTATCACTAGGATTTCCAATGGCCATTGGGATCACCGGACCACCCAGAAACACCAGGGACAGGGACAACAGCAGGGAAAGCAGAGAGCTGCCAACCCCGAGATACGGGAGGCCGTGGTGATTGTGGAGGCAGACGGGGATCATTTGTAATCGTTACCTTGGTATAGAGCATTGGATGAAAATAAAACTGATTCTGCCTTCTCTTTTGTCTTTGCCATAAGGCCCCAGACTCTGCTCCCAACAGCCCTTGCAAGACGAATGCAAAAAAAAAAAAAAATATCACTTTGGACAATGTGGGAGACTTGAGTATTTGCTGCTGAACAATGGCAGCTATTCAAACCTCAGCCTCGCCCTGGCTGTTAATTAGGAAAGTAAACACACACACAAAAAAATTTATAATTTAAGCCTTCACTAGATATTTGGCTTCCTAATCTCCTCTAGAGAATACTGTCAAGCTACTCTCCTGTCCAAAGCAGGGGATTTACACTTCCATGCGAAGCCAGTTCCCCAAACCTTAATTAGAAGTGGCATTAAGTTCAAGGCAGGCTTATGCAGAGTAAGATTCAGCAGCAGCAGAATTTCATTAAGCCAGTCTTCCACGTGTTAACTTAATTTACCCATTTGAGATGATGCATAATTTAAAAGTATTGAGCAGCTCCACTGTCAGACATATATTCTCTGATCTCACTGATGATTTACAACAGTAACAAGCTGTCCCCGCTTCAGGTCACCACCACCCACCAAATTATATTTGGGTGCTGGTATCCATCCTTCGGGCTTTGCCACCAGCCTGGGTGTCCAACTCCAGATGTGCTAATGACATCCATTTCATCCATTACTGTGTCTCTAACTTCATCAAGTCATTTTCCCCAAAACGTAACACAAACAGAGTTGGGATATTCAGTGTAACCAGCCAAACGCTTTGCTCTGCTGATTATCTGCTTGCTTTGGGTTGGATTTTCCAGGTCTATCCTAAATTTTGACCCTTCCCAGCTGACCTTGTTTTGGCCTGAAGCTCACGCCAACCGCAGCTGCCCCATATGGCAGACACCATGTTCAGCCCCTCAGCCGTCACCTGATGCAGCCGCTTTCCTCCAGAGCCAGATACTTTAAGCTTGACCCAGGGGACCAAAGTTTAGTTATTTTAAACACTTCCTCTCAGAGCATCTCTGGCACGACTGCAAGATTTCCACATGCCTTTCCCATCAGCCATGACCAATATTATGACCCCTAGCATTGAGGAAGATGGGAAAACCATACAGATATTCCTATGTATGAGGCAAGGTCCCATCTGCACTACAACTTTTAACTGTGTTTTTCTCAGCAGCTTAACACACATCTGGATAAAATGCAAGAGAGGACGATTAACTCCATTCAGGAAACACATTTCCCCCCTCAAAGGCATCTAAGCTCACTTTCTGCCAACAGTTAAAAGCCCATCCTTTGCTTCACAGGTAGGAAACTACACACTTTTCCTTCTGTATCACGACTATTACCACTTCTCCAAATTTCCCAGAGCACACAATGAGGTAATGCAAACATTTTATTTTTTTTTCTGATAAAACATTATGCAATTGTTGGAGCAGCCCCAAAACAGAGGGATGCAACACATGCAAAGTAACTGACACACACAACCACAACCTTCAGCGGCAGCAATGACACAGCTTTGATTTCTCTGCTGAAGTCCCCTAAATAAGGGTAAAACGTTTGAAACAAGCAGGAGGAGAACGGCTGGAGCAGGCTCGGTTCAGTCTCCTTCCAAATGATTCAATGTGAATCACATTTTCCTCAGAACAAGCAGTTTGAACTTTGTGTGACCATCATATTTTAGCTGAATGCAGTACATTTTCCTCAGAACAAGCAGTTTGAACTTGGTGTGACCATCACATTTTAGCTGAATGCAGTAAAAAAAAGCCAACACGTGAATATATCCCCTCTAACCTTTACCACCATGACTAGTGTTGCGGTTTCACTACAGCAAGTCAAGAACCTCTGCTTCAATACAGAAATCGTTATGTGACATCTTCAGAAAAACTAAAATTTAACAAGTTACTGCTGCTTTAAGCTCTAACCTTTACCACCATGACTAGTGTTGCTGTTTCACTACAGCAAGTCAAGAACCACCTCTGCTTCAATTACCTGACATCTTCAGAAAAACTGAAATTTAACATGTTACTGCTGCTTTAACTCACATTTTCCTCAGAACAAGCAGTTTGAACTTTGTGTGACCATCATATTTTAGCTGAATGCAGTAAAAAGCCAACACGTGAATATATCCCCTCTAACCTTTACCACCATGACTAGTGTTGCGGTTTCACTACAGCAAGTCAAGAACCTCTGCTTCAATACAGAAATCGTTATGTGACATCTTCAGAAAAACTAAAATTTAACAAGTTACTGCTGCTTTAAGATATATATTTTGATTTGATTAGACCAGAAGATGAACTAAATCAGTCAAGCAAGTCAACTGCAAGTCACAGATGAGCATGTTTTTTAAATTACTTATGGCAAGGGTGAAAAATTGCCATCTACTCCCCAAGGAAGTTGGTCTGCTACTTTATTCTAACTTCCCAGAACTACGTGAAGTCTTATCTCTACAAAAAACAAACTTGATTCCACTCAGCTGTGGAATCAAAACTGTCTTCGATGAAGACAGCTCTTGTTAAATCAGACTTTTAAGACAGACTGGAACCCGAAATTTGAGACTTCCTTCAGGGAAAAGAATTCCACCAGAATTGTTTCCAACCATTTCTTTCTTTTTAACCCAAAGCAACCTATAAAAAACAGTCCGTTTGACCAAAAATATGAAATAAATACTTCTTGGGTTTAATAATTAAAATAACATTTTGGCAAAAAGAGTTACCTCTTCTTATGCAGCTATTGTAAGAGGACAGAAGCTCACTCCAGCATAGCAGCAGCAGCAATGCTTATAATGGCATTGTACCAGGAGAGAGCCAAGCTCACAAAATTCCCCAGCAAGAGGCGGCTGTTGTTCCCAGCAGCAGCCTGTGGCTGGGATGATGTATATTAACCACAAGTGGTATATTCTATTTTCAGCACATTTTTAGGATTGCAAATCTTATTCTTTTTAATGGCAGAACATACTGACTTAGTATCCTCTCTTCCTGAGCTACACCACACCTTGACACCAGCAGAGAGGAAAACATGATTTAAAAATACCTCCCGAACGACACAGCAGCACAGAAACCCACACGTTTCAATGATCCATCAAATCACAGGCCATTAGTTAACTGGGTTTTGCCTTCAGAAGGAGTTTTTCCACTAGTTTTGTTTCCATCTTTTTTTTTAAATAAATAAAACTACCCAAATTTAAATTTCATTATGTTGATCCTGCAGCTAGCCTTAAAAAAAAAGGAAGAACAGGGCTTGAAGGACTCCTTATTAAATTGCTCAACACTTCTTATACAGTTCTCTTGGTGATTTGTAGCTCTGCAAGAAACAAAACCAGCTGAAGTTTTCCAGCTCCAACAACCAGACTCTGCAGCTGGATGCTGACATTTGGAAAAAGGTTCTCTATATCAGAATTTCTGTTACCCCAGAGTTTACCCCAGCTTGGCCAGTTGTAGTATTTCTTAAAGCAGCATTTGAATTCTGAGTTTTGATTAAGCTCCCACCTTTATTTTCCTCTTTCCATGCCCTCAGAGCTGGTCATAGGATGAGACTGCATGTGCTCAGCTGCTGTTTCAGCAAAACACATTTTGGTCAACGATGAGGAAAATGAAAAAATACCTGTGGATTTGTCCATTTTTATGCAGGTAGTCCAGCCCCTCCAGCACCTCCTTAAGGATCGTGGCTATACAGGGTTCATCCAGGACACCAGTCTTGTGTTCTCCTTTGGCCACAATGTGCTTTATAATATCCAGAACGGAGCCTAGAGAAAACAGAGTTCAACACATTAGTTTAAACTAGAAGAACAGATTCACAGCTAATTGTATTTAGTAATCACTTAATGTACAAGTCCAATAAATTTATTGGGAGGGGAAGCAACGATGGTCAGGATCAGAGTCAGTAGCTGAAGCCTCTGCTGCAGGAGAGCAGAGGCAACAGTGCATGAGTCTTATGGGGGTGCAGATCCTCAAGGTGGGCTGTAAAATCCCTGTGATGACAAGTAACTGAGAAGTTATTTGAACAAGCCAAAACGTAAAGTGCACATAGACAGGACTCTTGGAAGGTTTTTAGGTAGATACCGGCACTAAAACTGTTTTAGTACCGAGCACTGGAGAGGCAGGAGGGGGAAATGGAAAAAGCAGGGGGCTGCCAGGACTCACAAGCTGAAGGCAACAAGCTTGATAAAATTAGACTCTCTTTTTCAGCTCTTATAAACTCGACGCAGAAGAAGAGCAAGAAAAATCTCATACATTAAGGGACGACACCGCCCTAAGAGAAAAAAAGTGGAAATTATTAAATAGAGAACAAATGAGGCTGAGTTCTGACAATAAGTCACTTCTTCACCACGTACAGAACTGGAATAGCTTAGATCCTTTCCCTAGAAACATCAGGCTCGCTCCCAACCATGGTGTGAATGACATCATCTTGCATGACAAACCACGCTTTATAGAGCAAACCACCTCTTTGAATTGCACCCAGGAATAAACGGAATCAATGACTAGTAACACTCCTCTTGTGCAAGGTCCTGTTTTCATGATACATTGGGTACTGTATTCTTTGTATTTGCATCTGGACTGAAGACAGGCTTCTCAGAACTGTATTTTTATTGCTCCAGTATGGAATGTCTAAGCTCCTTTTCCAGGCCTCTGCTATTTAGCCCCTTCAAACTCGGGTTTCTATGGTTTAACGACTGGATAGTCAGCTAGTAGGATTTTTACAGACACAAAGCAATGTCAGCACTACTGAGAAGTTCTTAAAGAAGGAGAAAAGCAGGCACGACTGCAAAGCACAAATTCCAGCTTTAATTATCTTTGAACAGTAAGAACAACTCAATACTAACTCAGCTCGTTTAGAAAAGCTGAAAGTTCATTCTTCCTAACTTGCAACCAAAAAAAATAACTAAGGAGCAATGTCAGCACTACTGAGAAGTTCTTAAAGAAGGAGAAAAGCAGGCACGACTGCAAAGCACAAATTCCAGCCTTAATTGTCTTTGAACAGTAAGAACAACTCAATACTAACTCAGCTCGTTTAGAAAAGCTGAAAGTTCATTCTTCTTAACTTGCAACCCAAAAAGTAAGAGAATCTAAACATTTCTGAAGAACAGTAAAAGCTGAGAAACTTACTCTTGTTCATTTGCTCAATAAGGAAATTACAGGTTCCACCTTGTAAATTCTTGAAGCAAGCAGAAAAATACAGCGGAGGTTTTTGATTTTTCTTCTCATCCTTAAGGTTCAGGTTGACAAAAGAACTTCTCCCCCTTTAAAACTTATTTTATTAACTACCCTATTTTAATTTCTTGGCCAAAAAAAAATTCATGCAGATAGGTTTGTGCTTAGGGTTCAGGTTGACAAAAGAACTTCTCCCCCTGTAAAACTTATTTTATTAACTACCCTATTTGAATTTCTTGGCCAAAAAAAAATCATGCAGATAGGTTTGTGCTTAACAAAGTAGTTTACTTTTGGATTCTGACATGAAAGCCAAAAGGCTGCAAGGTTCGAATTCAAACCCCACGTGGAAAGGCTTGTTTTGCACAATTTAAACTGTGCAGGAAGTAATTCCGTGGGTGCCTTTGTTTGTGGGAAATGGTATGTGCTGCTTGCTGCAGTCAGGACAGTCACTACTCCCCACTCTGCCCTGTCACATGCTTCCATCTTCTCCAGCCCACCAGCATTAGTGCTCACAGGGAACACCAAGTCACCCACTAAATCCACCAAAAAAATAAGCTGAGGGGTGAAAAGAAGTGCTATGTTTTGTTGATAGTGAGCAAAACCTCTGAACACATGAGTTTTTGGAGACAATGAAGAGGAAAAGGAGGGGAAGAAGGAAAGAGAACACATTTATGAATGTAGCAAGTGATTAGACAAGCTCCTTGGCTGCCCTGACCAGCACCTCCAGCTTCCTCTTCCCCAAAAACCTTTTCTTGGTTCAAGGTATTTGCAGAAGATACAATCTTAAACAGAGCAGACACTAACAAAATAGAATATAAACATGGAAAAATGAAAAAAAAATACGGTAATGAAGTTGCATAATGTCCCCCCAACAATTTATGCAAAAATACTCTTAGCAGCATTCAGCCTTCCTTTACCCTGTCTTGAGCACAGACACACACTCATCTTTAATTAAGCCCTGTGTCAAAACTCACTAATCAGCCAAAGGCTTCACCCAGCCATAACTGAGGTTGCTTCAACATACGTTGGACTTCTTGCTGGGGAGCAAGGTTATCTCTACCAAAGGAAACTGTAAAACCCAGATGTAAGAGTACACACTCCCCTCCACTGAAATCTCTCCTTTAGGTTCTAGTGTCTAAGAAAAAAAAAAAGCCTCCGTTGTGTGTCACGAGGATTCACCTGGGATTCAGCCTGTCACGTATTCATATTTTAAGAGTACGTGCTTACAAGCCTCGATGCTTCTTATTTTGGACATGAATTTTTGTGACACCAAAAAAAAAAATAAAGAAACACACCACCAAAACCCCCTCCACTTTTAACTGTCCAGGTTTTTTTCCTCTCAAATATGCCTTTATCTGGAGAACAAACTGTCACTTGTTTTAGAAGTCCAGTGAAAATATGTGGTTCTTCACGTACTCGTTTTGTCCTCTTTCCACCCACAACTCTGTTAGCAGACTTTGTTCAAAAACATTTCCCTTCTCCTGCAAGGGGCTCAGGGAACATGAGGAGGCAGATCATATGGTGCTCAAAATTCATTTGGTCAAAAAAAACCCCTCCTGTATTTAGCCAAATTAGAGGTTGTAATTAACCCAGAAAAGGGGGTGGGGGTTAGACAGACAAGAGGGCATGCACAGAGCCAGCCTTCATTGTGAAAGGGCTGATTCACGCCCATGCTATATCTGATCCCAGCCCAGCCTACCACTTTTTAAGCACATTTTTTAAAAACCCACTTTCACATTGAGACGTTCAAAGTGGTGGAGGAATTTGCTTCTTTGACAAAAAGAAGAGCAGCAAAAAGGTGACCAGCAAAACGATTTTTTAAAAACCCACTTTCACATTGAGATGTTCAAAGAAGTGGAGGAATTTGCCAGTCTTCGACAAAAAGAAGAGCAGCAAAAGGCGACCAGCAAAATGCTTAGTTCAGGAAACAGAAAACCAACCCAAGAGACACCTTCCTGTTGGAGAAAGTGTTATTTTGACCATCTTCACTTTGTGCAAGGAAAAAAACTTTTGCTACGGGCACCACAACACCATAAAGTTGTGATTTTTCCACCTCACAGATCAGTAAATTTGGAAAGCAGGTAGTGCTTCCTCATTCAATTGATACTTCATCAAGCACCATGGGATACAAGGAGGAAGCCAAGCTGCATTTTCACACGCTGCTTCGTGCTGCGTTCAAGATCTCCTGCCATGGAGGAACGTGGAGCAACTGAACAACCAGATCCCCAAATGGAAACCCACAGCTAAGCACGAGGTGAATTTGAAAGAAGTCATAGGAATTCCACTGTTGAGGAAGGATCCTGCATTGAATTTACCAGGCTGATGCCAAAATGCAGTCATTCCTGAGGATCTCAGTTAAGTGTGTGAGACACCAGGGTAAGCCCTCCGTTGCCTTAGGATGTGGACAGATTTTCTCACTTACACCAACTTCCTCACACAATAGATTAGTAAGTGGGAGCCCCATCCTTAGCCTAAGGGGAAAAATGATAAACTGGCCTGTTCCCAATCCAGCAATGCATTAACTGCTGGAAATTAACTGGAAACTAATTCAGCTGAACTGGAACCAAGAGCATGAGTTTTACAAACCCAGCAAATCCTATTCCAAAACACCAGCCTGCTTCCTGAACCAGCTTCCAAACTAGTTTAAGAGTAACTAGAGAAGTTAAGAGTACACCCGAACATAGTTGGATGTCTGCTTAGATAGATAGTATAGGTTTGTGCTCTACGTACACAAACAGATTGAATAATTTGCAAGGCAAACATCTCCCATAATCTAGCGGCCAGAAGATTAGATTCACATTGGAAATAAGGTACTCATTCTATATTAGAGAACAGTATTACATATAATATTACAATATTATCAAGGGGGGGGAAAACACACTACAATGTCCTTTTTTTTTTAAAGGAAATCTTTGACTCCTCCCTAGAATACAGCTTCTATTTCAGGTAACTCCTTGAAGCACTCCATACATCCCTGGCATTGTGTTTTATTACAACAGTTCTTTCCCGATTTTCCTCATTAGAAATGCACAAAAAGAAGCTGAAGATTCACAGAACAGGAGGGTCAGGCTTAAGTAAGAAAGAAATTCAGTTTGGCTGAGGGTGACTGGAAAGCTCTTCCAAGCCCAGAAGGGGAAGCGCATTAGGAAAAGACAAAACAAGACAGAGGGAAGAGCCAGAACTAGAGCCTAAATGTAAATATAAATAATGCTGTCATTAACAAGGATGTTTACAGAAGTCTGGTGATGAGTAACTGATCTCAAAGCCCAACAGAAGACAAAAGCAAGGAGAGGATATTTAGAGATTGATGTGGAAAAAATGCAGCGATAAACAAATTCCTGCCCATCAAATATACACTGAGCAGCACATGAACAGGAAGCCTACAAGATATTGTGCAATTTGATAAAGCATTCGGCATTATTTATCATTCATCATGAATTAAAGTGCCTCAGTATATTCTGACGCCAATTGAAAACTGTATTACATCTATTTAGTAAAGCACAATCTCAGCAATTGAAAGTTAAGTGGTTTTCTGCTCAAACCCATGAGCTTCCTCCAGTGCTCTGAAAGCTGCTAATGGAATAGCTCCTAATGA